ACACATCCAAGGTTAAAAATCAAAGAGAGCCGGGAAGAAATAATAGGCTTCCTCTAATCTTCCACTTTTGAGGTGAAAAAAAAAAGCCCAAATCCCTATAAAAATACCTGCTTTGGTTTGAATATTTGTCTCCTCTGAAACTCATTAAAATTTAATCCTCCCTGTGGCAGTATTGAGAGGTGGGCCTTTAAGAGGGGATTGGGCAATGAAGGTTCTGCCTTCATGAAGGTTAATCCATGAATGGATTAATGGGTTATCACAGGAGTGGGACTGGTGACTATATTAAAAAAGAGAGACATAACCTAGCATACTCAGCCCCTTTGCCATGTGATGCCATGCACTGTCTCAGGACTCTGCAGAGTCCTCAATAGCAAGAAGGCTCCCATCAGATGTGGCCCCTTGACCTTGAACTTCTCAGTCTCCATAATTACAAGAAATATATTCTGGCTGGGTACAGTGGCTCATGCCTGCAATCCCAGCATTTTGAGAAGTAGAGGCAAGAGGATTGCCTGAGCCCAGGGGTTGGAGACCAGCCTGGGCAACTTGGTGAGACCTCATCTCTACAATAAATCAAAAAATTAGCCGGATGTGGTAGCACACACCTGTAGTTCAGCTACATGGAAGGCCAAGGCGGAAGGATCACCTGAACCTAGTAGGTCGAGGCTGGGGTTGGCTGAGAGCATACCACTGCACTCCAGCCTGTGTGACAGAGTGAGGAGCTTACTCATTAAAAAATAAAATAAATAAATACATTCCGTTTCTTTATAAATTACTCAGTTTCAGGTACTCCCGTTATAAGCAACAGAAAACAGACCCTTAAGTGGATAACATGTTTATGACTTTACATCAGTTACAAGGCTTGGCCTTTGCAAATGGGTTTATTTGCCCTTGAGTACTTTCACTCTGGTTACTTATGCAAGTCACATACTAGCAAATGAGAGAAAGACTGGCCCTAAGGGTAATTTCTCTAATTGTACATGTAGAAATGAAGGTTTTTAGGAAGAACTAATAAAATAATGAAGGAAGTAGAAAAATAAGAAGATTCTTCAGATTCACTTAGAATATGTCAAGTATGATATTATAAAGGTCAGAAAGCAGATGGTATTAGTACTGCTAATAACAAAGAAGATATGCCAAAGTGATAGACTTCATGGATAGAAACTAGTTATCAAAAGTGGAATTGGGAGTTGGGTGTGGTGTTTGCCGTTGGTCAATCCCAACTAGTTGGGAGACTGAGGTGGGAGGATCACTTGAGGCCAGGAGTTTGAGACCAGCATGGAAAACATAGTGAAACCCTGTCTATAAATACATAAACAATTAATTTTAAAACAAAATAAAAAAATCAGCCGGGCGTGGTAACGCATGCCTGTAATTCCGGCTACTTGGAAGGCTGAGGCGGAAGGATCACTGGAGCCCAGCAGGTCGAGGCTGCGGTGGCCGGGAGCGGCCACTGCATTCCAGTCTGGGCGACAGAGTGAGGCTCCAACTCAAAAAAAAAAGTGAGAGAGGTGAAAAGAAGATGAAATGGGAAGGGGAATGAACAAAGATTATCAAGTTCAATTCCCTCAAATTGACAAAGTGACTTCCCCAGATACCCCTTGGATAAACATCAGAACTGGAATCCATGCTGGCCACTTCCTTTAAGTGGGGTAGCTCTACTTCTTGCCTACCTCCAGCCTGAAGAAGGCATTCCACACTTTCTTCACACTGGCCACAACCCCAAACCCCACCATAAATGACATGAGAGGACTGTCAAAGTTCCCCTGAAGACAACAGGGTGATTCTTGGAGACTGAGGATTTTTCTTTTTTCAAGTCAATTCACTAAACATTTACTGATTTCGACTATGCTTATGCTGTGATATATATGGCTATTCAAGGATAAGGCCAGGCATGGTGGCTCATGCCTATAATCCCGGCACTTTGGGAGATCAAGGTGGGAGAAGTGCTTGAGCCCAGGACTTTGAGACCTCACAACACAGCGAAACCTCATCTCTACAAAAAAATAAAATAAAATAAGCCAGGCATAGTGTACTCGTGTATAGTCTCAGCTACCCAAAAAGCTGAGGTAGAAGTATGTCTGAGCCCAGAAGGTGTCGAGGTTGCAGTGGGCTGTGATTGTGCCCCTGCACTCCAGCCTGGGTGACAGAGTGAGACCCCCAACTCAAATAAACAAACATAAAAAGAATATTTAGGGATAGGATTAACATAAAACTGTGTCTTAAAGAATCTTATGTTTGTTGGCTAGGTGCGGGGGTTCATGGCTGTAATCCCAACACTTTGGGAGGCTGAGGTAGGAGGATAGCTTATGCCCAAGAGTTTAAGACCAGCCTGGGCAACACATGGAGACCCTGTCTTTACCTCCTCCCACCAAAAAAAGAAAAAAAAAAACAGAAAGAAAAAAAATCATATACTTGCTGAGGCAATTTAGTTTCTAAATAATAAAACTACTATTAGAAAATTTAGTTTCTAAATCAGTGGTTCTCTGTAAGAATCTGATAACAAACTATGAATTTGTTCCCCAGAAAAAACCGCACATTTTTGCACATATTCAGAAAGTTAGTTGATACCCTAAAATCGATCCACTGATTATGAGTTAAGATGTTCTATTATAAGGGATTCATTCACTGAGTACTACAATATAAAAATTACCTGAGGTACCCAAATTGAAAGACATCCTAGAAATTCCTTTTTTTTTGATACAAAATAAAACTTTATATGCTATCTGAAGGGAAAAGAACTTTTTCCCCAGTATCACTTAGTAAGATGCTCCTCTTACACATGCTTATTTTCCCACATTTAATATTTTGTTTTATTCCATGAGAATGTCTTGCCTGCTTTCAGAGTTTCTGAAATGGTCTTTTCATAAAGATATATTTATATACATAATTACAAAGACAAACGTCATTAAAACCAGAAGAAACACAGCTTAGCTAATGAATTATTCTATTTCAAATTTTTTATCTAGCTTGGAATGCTGTTTCTAAGGCTTTGATGCCAAAGGGAGTGAAGTCATTAAGATGAGCTGATAATACTGCAGCATGAGTACTTTCTTCTTTAAAACAAGTATTTAGATCTTTTTGGGGGGGGACTGAGTAGATGTGCCCGCACTTTTTTTTTTTAATCAGAGTCTCACTCCATCACCCAGGCTGGAGTGCACTGGCACACTCATGGCCACCCCAGCGTCGACCTGCTGGGCTCCAGCGATCCTTCCGTCTCAGCCTTCCAAGTAGCCGGAACTATAGTCGTGCACTACCACGTCTGGCTAATTTTTTATTTATTGTGGAGATGAGGTCTCACCAAGTTGCCTAGGCTAATCTTGAACCCACAAACTCTGGCAATCCATTCACCTCGGCCTCCCTAAAAGCTGGGATTACAGGCTGAGCCACCAAGTCCGGGCTAGATCTTTTGAAATTTAATTTCTTGACAAAAAGCACAAGGTTGATTTATAATAATAAAGAAATTTCTGTAGAAGAAATTGAATAATCAATATGGAAGTTTCATAAATCACTCCATAAAGCTTTGGAAAATATACCAAGCCCTTTAAAAAATAGGTTATTTGGCTATGTTAAAATGTTTTTAATAACTGATTATCTTGTTGCATACTCTGAATCAAATAAATGGAGCAGCAAGAATCAACATATTCTTGAATATACTGGCAGAGTGGACAAAACAGTAGAAACAAGATAAGAGAGTTTCCATTCAAGTTTTTTAAACCTGTAAGCAAATACTGTTATTATAATACAATCTGATACTGTAATGATATTCAGTGTGAGAAGGTTAAATGGAAAAAAATGTGAGACAGAAGAAAGACTAGAGAAAGGGTTTGGATTTATTGTTACCAGCATTTAAAAAATGAACTAGTAATATAAATTATTAGTAAACAGGCACAAAGGTCTAGAGAAGAGGTAAAAACAATTATTTATAGAACAAAGACAAACCTTCTAAAATATTAATTTATTACATTTTTCCTTAAAAATGGAGAATAGGCCAACACAACCACAATCTCAACAAGTGTAAAATAAAAGGACAGTTCAGTTCAAGTTTATTTGTTTATTTATTTATTTAGAGTCAGATACTCACTGTGTTGCCCAGGCTAGAGTGCAGTGGCACGATCATAGCCCACTGCAGCTTTGACCTTCTGGGCTTAGATGATCCTCCCACCTCAGCCTCCCAAGTAGCTGGGACTATAGGCATGTGCCAGCATGCTTGGCTAATTTTTGGATTTTTTTTGTAAGGATGAGGTCTCGCTGTGTTGCCTAGGCTGGTCTTGAACACCTGGGCCCAAGCAATCTTCCTGCTTCAGGCCCCTAAACTGCTGGGATTAAACTGCCAGGGGAGGAGGGGGTGGGATTGGCAGTAGAGGGAAACCGCCAGGGGAAGGGAGAGAGGGCACAACTCATCAACAAGGGTACCCGCCATAATGAACATTTGTATACCCTGAATTGTACCCCACACCTTTAAAATTAAAAAAAAAAGTGCTAGGATTACAGACATGAACCACCATGTCTAGCCCAGTTGAAGTTTAAAAGGACCCAGTGCTAGTCCTCAGTAGATTTTGATTAAAAGAAAAATTCAAGGAGAAACGTCCACAAGACAGGGGAATACCCTCTCATCATGATGGAACAGTATGTCTCTTTAAAGAATGTGATTCTTCTATGAGGCACGTTTTCAAAAAAATGTAAGGAGTTAAGCTTTTTCAGATGGAGATGGGGAACAAAAGACAGACCAGAAATGGCATAAAAGGACTTCAGACTTAACGTCAAGGACAAATCAATGTAGAATTGATATTATATGTATCTGATATCTAAAATAATGAAGACGATGTTATCAAAAAACAAAACAAAACAAAAAAGAGCTGCATTTAGACATCTTTTCTGAGTGCTGTCATACAATCTGTCAGAGGTAAATATGAACTTAATCACATATGACTCTCCTCTTCAGTGATGACAGGTTAACGAAGCAGGACATATTCAGAGGATCAATATGAACATATACATACCACAGGCTGTTTCGTTATGTCCACCAAGTCCTTAAGATTATAATACTGATGTTTCTCAAAGGCTGAAAATAGCATGTCTAAAACATACTGTTTATCAGCTCGTGCTCGCTTTCCATCTTCTTTCTTTTTCCTTTCATATTCAATCTGTATGCAAAAAGCAAAAGAAGAAAAGGGATCAGTTTAATATGCTCACTCAGAAACACAGGCATTCTCTTTTTAGTCATCCAATAACGATTAGCCTTTAGGTTTCAAGGAAGTGGGCCTCTGAACAGCGGACTGCTCCCCAAGGCTCCCCAGAACTGAAGGCTCTAGTAATAATACCGATCTGTAACCACTTTCATTACCTCCTAAAGCTTTATATAACATGCCCATTTCCACCAAAAAAGGTTTTTTTGCCAAAAATTACATTAATTTAGTATGGCCAACTAGTTAGCTCATGTTATCAGAAACTCCAGCATGCAGTCCCTTTGTTTTTGAGACAATACAGCAAAATAGTTTTATCTAATAGACGCAGTTCAGTAGGTAGCATCTTGGGGCTCTTGCAGCCCGGCAGAACAGGTCCCCTAGGGAGTGAGAAGTGTGGAAAGCATTTTTAAAAGGAAAGGACACAGGCCTTTTCTCATCCTGACCCGATGTTACCTCCTTGAACCTGGTTCTTCTTCTATAAAATGAAGTTTAACAAGAGAGAGGGAAATATATACTCAGCGCTTAGACAAAAGCCAACCATTAATCTGAAATCTCCATTTAAAACTTCATGTACCTCTAAAGTCACCTGTATAATACATCTTTATTTTTAACACAAAAACAAAAAACAAATTACCTCTCATCCAAATAAACATGACACTCTTGGACAATGTGCTGCTTATGCTGTAGTTTTGTGTAATTCCAAGCACACCAATTTGTGAAGCAGTGGCACTAAGAGAATGCCCAAGTTCTCTCCTATTGTTACCATCTTGGGAATGTTCATTTGTAAAAAGTGACATTTTTACTGAAAATACGCAACTTCTATTCACTTATTTCAGTTAATCAAGATTTTTATTTTTAAAGAATATTTTACCTTTATAAAGCACAAGAAACTTATTGGAGGAAATATATGTAAACTGCAGCAGCCAATGTGGTAAATAAAGCGTCAGTAGGCAGTGTGGAAGCTTCCAGAGAACAATCTCCTGTGCATCAACTGAAATAACTATAATGTAAGAACTAGCTTCAAAAACAATGAAATATGTTTCAAAACTTACGAACAAAATTAAATCCCAGCTGCAGGTTAGGCTTATTCTCTATATTTTAACAATAAAAATTTGAAGCCAGGCATGGTAGCTCACGTCTGTAATCCTGCACTTTGGGAAGCAGAAGTGAGAGAGGATTGTCTGAACCCAGGGGTTCGAGACTAGCCTGTGCAACATGGTGAGGCTTTGTCCCTACAATAAAGCAAAAAGTTAGCCAGGCATGGTGGCTCGCACCTGTAGTTCTAGCTACTTGGAAGGCTGAGGTAGAAGGATTGCCTGAGCCTAGCAGGTTGAGGCTGCGGTGGCCATAAGTGTACCAATGCACTCTAGCCTGGGCAACAGAGTGAGACTCTGATTCAAAAACAAAAATTAAAATTTGTTATAAAAAAGATAAAAGTTAGTGTCTATTGACGTTAAAACTAAAAATAATACCTTGCACATAATCAGAGTCTGTGGCAAAAAGTAACCATGACAACCTTGAGTATCTATCCTCTAATTAAATAAAGTTAGGAGATAAGGGGGAAAGGACTACCTTAATCATCTTACATTTTAACATCTACACGTTGGAAGTAAAACTCAAAATTCATCAACCTCTTTAGCAGATTAAGCATGGCCTATATGCTAGGCACTACACTAAGATATGAGGCGAATAACCCAGACTTCTCTTTCTAAAGGCACCCTCTTCTTAGGGCTCATGGAGGGTCTGAGTATTTTATTTGTTTTTTGGGTTTTTTTTGAGTTGGAGTCTCACTCTGTCACCCAGGCTGGAGGGCAGTGGCATACTCCCGGCCACCGCAGCCTCAACCTGCTGAGCTCTGGTGATCCTTCCGCCTCAGCCTTCCAAGTAGCTGGAACTACAGACATGCACCACCATGCCCGGCTAATTTTTTTGATTTATTGTAGAGATGAGGTCTCGTCAAGTTGCCCAGGTGGGTCTCGAACCCGTGGGTTCAGGCAATTCACTCACCTTGGCCTCCCAAAGCATGGGATTACAGGCTGAGCCACGGAGCCTGGCTGAGTATTTTAAATGTAGTAAAAGACCAAAGATCTATCTAGGACAAGTTCATGATGCTGAAAAACAATGCAAATGCATGACGCAGATTGTACTGTTGGGAAGGAATGAAATCGAGCCACTCTTGAGAATTTCTGGGTGAGAAAAGCATAAAAGAGAACAACTATGGACAGCTACAAAGGACTGAAAGCAGAAAAAGATGACTAGAAGAGTTAGAAGCAAGAGTGGAAAGGGGAGAGACCATAGAAACCTATGGCCAAGGGGGAGAAGAAATTGATTTCCCAAAGCGGGGAATATGAAAAAACAGACCAAAAAATGCTCTAAGGGCAAAGGCAGAAGTATTCAGTCTGTTCCAACTCAGCAAGGAAGGAAGATGTACAGATAGTTAAGAGCAAGAGGATGAACCTGAGGTCCACTCAAGGAGAAATTTTCTTTCTCTAGGGTCAAAAGAAGAATAGAACTAAAAAAATTATCATATAGTGGAGAAAGAAAACATGATAGACCTGGCCCAAACCCCCAAATCCAAGCAAGAATTAGGGTCTTTGGATTAGAAAGTGGAATGAGATCATACAATGCATTAAGGGATAGATATTTTAAGCCTTTCTTTGCTGGTCAATGACTAACATATATCATGTTTTTCCTGTTTACTTAGTTTGTATCCTGAAATCCCCTTCCATGTTTAAACTGTACCTGAGTGGGTTTGGTTTAGACTGCATTGGACAGTCAAAAAAGTGGGGACTACTGAAAAAGTGGGAAAAAGTATGAACTAGCTTCAAAAGGGATGAAAATGATATTATTATTATTGTTTTGAGTCAGGGTCTTACTCTGTTGCCCAGGCTGGAGTGCAGTGACACAATCAAGGCCATTGCAGCTTCAACATCCTGGGTTCAGGCAATTCTTCTGCTTCAGCCTCCTGAGGAGCTGGAACTCTACAAGACCATGCCTGGCTAATTTTTTATTTTTATTTTATTTTTGTAGAGATGAGGTCTCGCTATGTTGCTCAGGCTGGTCTAAAACTACTGGGTTCAAGCAATCTACTACCTTTAATGGTGTGAGCCACTGTTAACCATGGGTTAACCATGTCCATCACTGATTGGCTCAATTCCTGGGTCTAACTCTATTTTTGTCTGGTGAACAAAATCTCTTCCCCGCCCCATCCAAAGTGTATAACTATTTATTTATCAAAAGGAAACTATTTCTTAGCCCACATATTCATGTTTCATAATTCAAGAACACAGGTGAGTGACAAACTTCTACGTAACTCAACTCAAAGAAATTCTTTGTGTTCTAAAATAATTTTGCACTTAATAAAGATACCAGCCTTCCTCATCTCCTCAAAATCATCTGGAACCATAACTTGTGTGGAAATCTGCATATGCCTTTTTTCTTGGTTCAGCACAGCAAACTGATCAAGGCTAGCAACCCCAGGGATACAATGAATAGTCTAACAATGTGAAACCACAGACACCTGGTCAGAGGGCCACACATGTGAGGTTTTGTCAAAGCACTGGAAGCCATGGTAGTATTGCCCTTGATAGGAATGTCAACCTTAAGTAATAAGATTCAGAAAAAATGATTTAAGTGTAGAGTTTATCTGAGTCCGAAGCTTGAGGATGGCCACCTGGGAGCAGATTTAAATTATCCTGAATATATGCTCCTTAGCAAACATAAACTCTTAAAAGTGTAATCTGAAACTTAGACATATAAAATAATAACAGCAATGACAAAAATGAAAATATTACTCATTAGAGAAATTTAAGAATTAGAAAACTAACCCTATGTTTATCTAAATATAAAAACAGAATATCTCCTTAACGTCCTCAGGGCCTGTACTACCGGGACAGCTTATAGAAAAGATTTCTTTGTTTTTGAAACAAGGTCTCACTTTGTCATCCAGGCTTACCACAGCCTTGAACTCCTGGGCTGAAATGATCCTCCCTCCTCAGCCTCCTAAGCAGCTGGGACTACAGGCACGTCTGGCTAATTATTTATGTTACTTATTTATTTTTGAGTCAGGGTCTCACTCTGTTGCCCAGGCTAGAGTGCAGTGGCACAATCACTGCTCACTGCAGCCGCGAACTCAAATAAAACTAATGTACAAATAAACTACAAATGATATGAATTATTTTACTTAGAAGACTAGTTTTTAGATAAGGTTATTCCCTCCTTTTAGTTCTTTTCCCTTTGGGCATTTTGTTTCTCAATGGTGCACAGGGCATTCACTGTAAGAAAATGAAAATAAAGCAGTCAGATATCTAACTTGTTAACAATCACTAGTAAAATTATTAGTAAGATTGGAATAGAAACAGGTTTCATATTATGTAAATTTTAATTACCAATCTGTCCCCAATGACCACAGATCACTGTACAACCAATTGCATATAAATAAATGTCAATTCAGACAGCATTTTAAATTTAGTCTCCAGTTACAATTTTTTTTCTAAAGTTGGGGTCTCACTCTGTTGCTCAAGCTGGAGTACAGTGGCACCATCATGGGTCACTGCAGTCTCGACCACCTGGCCTCAGGCGATCCTTTGGCCTCAACCTCCCCAGTAACTGGGACTACAAGCATGTGTCACCATACTTAGCTCATTTTAAAATTTTTTTGTAGCGAAGAGGTCTCGTTATGTTACCCAGGCTTGTCTTGAACTCCTGCAACCCTGACTTGGTCTCCCAAAGTGCTGGGATTACAGGCACAAATCACTGTGCATAGCCCATCCAGTTATACATTTTTGCAATCTAAAAAATCTACCACACACAATTAATTTTACTTTCACAATAGAACATAAATTATTCTTGACTATAATAAAAATCTATTGTGGATGTGGTATATGGATGTTCAACTGTCATTACTAAAACCTTAATCACTGACTAAAATTATAAATGTTACCCACTGCCAATTAAAA